CATGGTTGTACCCATAGAAAGCTTCAAACGGCATCTATACCCCACTGCTCTTGTTTGGTATCCTGTTCAGCGTGTCGCTTGCCCAGATGTAGCTGAATCCCAGTATGACTTGTCGAAACCGCTGTCAATAAGAATAGTCCTACCCATTTCACTAAGTGTCCGGTTGTATCTCTCAATAGCCCCATTTTGAAAATGATGATATGGTAATGCCCGTTCTGGGGTAATCCCTTTTTTGATGAGGAAAGAAATGAAGACATTACTGCTGAGCTCTCCCCCATTATTGCTGCGCATTATTTTCACCTTGTCTCCAGTGATGTTTTCCCACCGATTGATAGTCTCCATGACCAGTTTTCCGGCCTGATCTTTCGTGACCATGACTTTAGCTTTGCTAAAACCTGTACCTAGATCTCTAACAGTTAGTATATATTGTCCTCCATTGATATTAGGGACTTGGAACGATCCAATGATATTGGCTGAAACAGTTGTGAGTCGGCTTGGAGATCTGTCAGTAGGTGAAAGCCTGTTCTTCAGTAAGCTCTTACTAATCGCACAAGTCAAACATTTGAAATCTCCTCCAGGCAGCATAGGTGGTAGATCTAAACACAGCCGGAACTTGCACATGTGTCTGATTTTCCTGAGGCTTGCATGTCCAAAAAACCTGTGGTAGTATAAAAGGGTCTTCTCATCTTTGCTCAAGTCTTTAGTGTTGTCATTGTATTTCTCAGTAGGGACATCGAGTGGCACAAAAAATCAGCATTTAGTTTGAGAACGGTCTTTGGATGGTCATAGAGACCAAAAAGATAGATTGAAACAATATATTGCTGATCAATTCCGGCACAACATACTGTAGGTAGGTCATTGACAATAGGTTTAGGAAAAATCCATTTATTATGGCTTCTGACAAAAGGACAAGAGAAAATATGACAGTGGTCTTTGCTGAATATATTGTAGCAATCCTGTTTGGTGTCATAGGTGAAGAAGGCATTAGCTTTGCGGATTGCAGCTAACGATATGAGAGTGCTACGCGCAAGCTTACAGTAGAGGACCCCATGTATGGTGACATTCTGATTATCAACTCTGTTGAAACGCAAATCTCCCTGGCCAGTGATAAAGGCTTGATTCCCCTCGGTAGCTACTTTAAGGGGAATGGGATTACGGAATGAGCGAAAATTGAAGAAATACTTGCAATCACCACACAGATGATGCGACGCACCAGAATCCACGATCGGAGCACTGTCCGCCATAACAACATCCACATGATCAAAATTCAGGTTGGCCAGGTCCGTTTCCAGATCTCCCATTTCGACAGTTCTTGCAGTGGGTTGATCTTGATCCGATTGAGAGTCGGCCAGACAAGCAGAGGGTGTTGGCTTGAGATTTTGACTAGGCCGTTGTTGATCGACACGTTGAAGACGATATTGAGGCCTGTAGGAGTCGGCCTGGCGGTTGGGAATGTTGGTGGGGATGTTTGGAGTAGTTACCGGTGTAACCTGCTGGTGCGATGATCGGGTAGAAAGGTTGGAAACCATATGGCGGATCTGGTGCGTAGTTGTTGTATCCTCTTCCTCCAGTGATTGGGCGGTTTGTTGGTCTTGCCGAGTTGAAACGTTGTTGTAAAGGACACGACTTCTGAAGGTGATCCGGTGATCTGCATTGCCAGCATAGTCCTGCTTGTGCCGCCATAAACTCGTTCATGTCTGGGTTGATGTTGCCGTGGTTGCTTCCTTGGGGCGGGACAGCGGCCGGTGCTTGAGTCTGCATGGCGAGGGGAATTGGGTTGGAGCTGGGTTGGCTCTCATTCCTGTGGATAGCATTGCGCCGGACGATGTCAATTGTTCTGAGGATGACATCGAAAACCGGAACTCTATTGAATCTTGATGATTGCACTGCTTGTTTGATCCGTCTGTACACTTCATGCATGAGTTCTGGATCGGAGCCCAAACCGTTCTGGAGCACAAGTCCGGCTATCTCGTCCCTGGTCAGACTGATGCCGAGAGGATCCATGATTGCTGTGGCAACGGTAGCCGTTGTCGGATGGTCTGCTATATTGAAGCTTAGAAGTCGACGGAATGCCGCAAGTTGGGCGGCCCGACTGATTGAGTTGAAGCAAACTGTGAGATCATTCAGCATGTCTCTAGCGGCCGTGAACCGCGCAAGGTTTCTTCGGAACGTTCTGTCAACCGAGGCAAGAAGAATGGAGCGCGCAATTCGCTCATGTTCAGCATTTGTTGACACCGTGTTGAGATAATTAGGGTTGTCAATAGCATCACGTAGGCGTTCTTCGAGAAAATCAATCCAGGAAGCAAAATTCAGGCCATCGGGCGCAAGTCGATCTTCATCCCTGATCTGAGAGTTAACGGCTAAAATGATTGCGGATGTGTAGCGATTTTCAACCATTGTGGCGATTGGTCTTGGAGGGACAGCTGGGACCGCATTATTTTGACCGCTGTTGGCTGGTTGTTGGTCCTGAGCTCTAGAGTTCTGATTACCAGCCACAGGCGTGTTTTCATGTGTGTTATGGATCGATGCTCCTGGACTGGCCATGATGAGTTTTGAGGGAAGTGGAAGTGGGAGAGGTATACGGATTGTGTTTGGGAAAGAGGTATATAGGGGTAGGTAGAGAATGTGTCGAGTGAAAGAAGATATCGGGAAAAAGTGAGTTTAGAGAAATGTTGAGGAAAAGAGATGATGTGTTCGGGGAAGATTTGTATGGAAGTCGGAGTAGAAAGTGTGATGGGAAGAGGAAAGATGGGAAAAGTGAGTTAGAAAAAAAAATTGGAAAGAGAGATGATACGGTATTGGAAAAAGTTAGGAGATAATAGAAGGTTGGGGGTAAAAAAAGTTATATGGTGGTTTGGTTAACACGTGGGAAAGGAATGGATGGATGGCGGATAAAATAGCAAGATAAGATTATGGAGATATGGTTGATGAGAGAAAATTGGGGAAACTTTTGTGATCAATAGTAGAGGTGAGATGCGACAAGAAAATATTGGGTATAGAGAGGTAAAGGAAAAATCGTCGAGTTATGGTAGGAGTTGATGAGATAGTTGATGAGAGAAGAAAAAAGCTTGATAAGAGGATATTCAGAGAACGGAGAAAAGAAATTGATGATGTAGCTCCAAGCACAAGAGAGAAAAAATCTACACGCTTGTTCGGCCCCTGTTCCAGCGTCCTGGAGGACAGGGTATACACTCTGATAGCTAGTCTTTGTGCAGCTTAATCGGCTGTGATAGAAATTCAGTCACAAAAAACAAAAAGCCCAAGATATGTACTGCTTCGATAACAAAAAGGAACTTTTCCAGGCCGATTACTCCCTATCCTGGGATACCTTTTATTGAGAGAAACTAAACTTTTATTATGATGAGTAGCAAGAAATTTGTAAGGCACTCATAACCTGATGGAACTCGAGAAGAAGTTCACAGAATGAATGATGCTTTTCATGTATATGTAGAGTAGCGACTATATATATACATGATAAGAAGAAAAACAATAGGTCTAGATGAGTCTCACACTCTGTGACCTAGTTAGGTCACAACACAAACCCCTTGGATACATGGCTGATTTGGCGGATCAGTGCCATGTTTGGCGGTCCAGGAGCAATCATGTCGGTTCAGGAGCATGGGCGGCCAATTTGGCGGTTAGATTCAATTTTTACTTTGGCCATTCTGGCGGTTCAGGGCTGTGATTTGGCGGTTATTTGGCCAAAGTGGCGGTTCATCCCCATGTTTTCATTTTTTTTGGCCAAAATGGCTGTTCAGTACCTCCATAAGATTGGCATATTGGAAGAATGATTATAAATGAAAATTTTGGAAAAATTGGTTTCCAGATGGCTTCAAATAACTGTAGAGTGGGGCATTTACCAGCCCACATTGCAGTAAAGCACTAGAATTTACTGTTTTGGCTCCAATCTGGACAACCAACCTGGCCAAACCTTTTTTGGTTTCAATTTTTTCATTTATAATAATTCTTCCCATGTTCCGTTTTCCCTTACTCTCAGAACTCCCACTCCTCCAAAATGAATATCAAAGCTTTTGAAAAAAATCAACTTTATTTTTATTTTCCGAAAATTTTGAAACTTATTTTTTGTTTTTATTTTTTTCATATTCATATTTTGGGACCTATTATGCACCACCTGACCCAGTCTCATGACTTCAAGTCTGTGTTTTGGAGCTCTGGAATCCAAAATAAGCAGCCACTTTTCACTCTCTACCCACTGTACAATATATGTATAAAAAAATGAAGGATGGAGAGATTGACCTTGATGGGTTCTCTTTTTTGACTGTCTTCACCAACAGACCCTGTATCCAATTTCAGGGCAGCAATTTTTGACATTCTTGGAGAGACCTTGGGCATAGTAGACATGATGGGAGGTTTAGCCAAATTGCCAATCTGTGAGAAACGTCCTGAACCGGCAATGATATTAGAGGACCAAAATTCCTTGGGCTGGGTAGCTGATTGGGGACCTGGAGCCTCACTTTTGACATTTATCCAACTTGCCACACTGAAAAACGTGTCATTTGCCAATGAGCTACAATCTGGATCCATCAAGCTGCCTGTCACAAATGATAGAAACGTTAAACAAAAGTCATACATGAAGAGTGATGTTGTTAAGCTCAAAAGTATTCCTGAGAACCTTTTGCTGAGTGCGGAAAGGGATGTGTGAGGTTGCCTCTGCTTTTCCTGGTTCACTAGACACTAGAGCAAGCCCACCAATCTCAGATTGGCAGGTTTGTATAGTGATAGTGGAGTTTTATCAAAAGATAGCTGTTGTCTGAGCCGTGGATGGTGTGTCAAGTAAGGTATTTGTATGTAAGTATATTTAATGAAAGGGCCAAGGCTTCAACCAGGTGCAAGTTGGGTGAAGGGGTGGGTATTTATATTTGTGTTGATAGGTGTGTACTAATTGTTATTTCAATGGTGGTTGGTATGTATGTAAGTATAACATATATAGGGTATAACAGAGGTATTATGGCCCCAAGGGGGGCACTACATGAGGCATTGTGACTAGGTACATGAGGAATACATATGTTGAACAGGTGAATGTGATTGGTTGGAATCATACAGCCCTGTGTTATGGTCAGGACTTGATGTGTGGTCTGAAGGGTTGTGTAATATTTGTTGATGATGTAATATGCAGCTTCTAGGTGGTGATAAGCCACTCATGCAAGCGGCTGTACCTGCATGTATACTTTTGTACTGGTCATGCAGGACTTATGCGCCTTGCTGCAACCTGCTGCACCTGCATGTATACTTTTGTTGTGGTCATGCAGGCCAGTAATTCCTTGCCTGTGTGTATGTCTGTTTATGTGATGTCCTGTCTATGTATCCTTGAGGGTTGTAAATGATGGGTGTCAGTGCCAGTAATAATGTAGAGTGTGAGATCAGAGTAAAGCTATTTGTAAACTGTGAGTGGCTCTTAAGGGTGTTTTGAGCTGTAGAGTGTGATTATATAGAAATATGAAGTGATAACTAAAGATAAAATAGAGTAAATAGAGTAAGAAGGAGAAAATGAATAAAATTTTTATTTTAGCAATAAGGTATATCATAAAGCATCCCACAACATGGTGGTGATGGTGGTGGGGCAATAATACCTTTGGCTTCCAGGATCACCCTGGGTTTATACCTGAAGATAAACTGTGGACAAAAAAAATAGTTCAACAACAACAACCCTGAAGAGTAAGGATTGAGAAAAAAAACTTGAAGGAATGGGTTTGTATCTTCATGGACAACGGGTCAAATTGTTTTTTTACCCGGGAATGGTATTCCGGCCACACCACGTCTGTTGTGAGTAGAAAGGATTGGTTGGCTGAGGCTGACAGTGTTGGGCTGACAGGCCTTCTTACTACTTTCTGAGAACTTCATCTGATTGGTGGTACAGAGATTGGCAGCACATTGTTGGTTAGAGTCAGCTCAATGAGATGACTGGTTAGCTCTGGCTATGAGGCATGGGATAGGTTGAGGTGACCTGAGGGTGCATTTGATGATATTAACCTGGATGGTACCAACTGCCTGTATGATTTTCTGATCCTCACAGATCTGGTCTGCTGTTTCTCATCCTCACAGATCTGGTCTGCTGTTTGACACACTCCACTATCACTTTATCAAACTTTCCAATCTGAGATTGGTGGGCTTGTCTAGTTTCTAGTGATCCAGGAAAGGAAGAGGTATCCTCATTCATCCCTCTCAGGGAGTCCCCAGCGTGATAGAGGATCCTGTAGTTTGGCAAGTGGATTAGATACATCTGAACCATTGTAGTGATTACTATAGTTTATCATAGTTGCAATTTTAGTTTGTTTTAGGCAGGAAGCTTACCTGTCTTGACCACATGACAAACTATATCTCTGAATAATCACCTTCTGTTAGCTTTATGCCAATTAGTTCCTACGTATATCTTGTAGAACTCCGGATTAAGTAGTTAAATACTCAAAGTTCATGATAAATTAGAAGAAAAGGGGACCAATTAGCTGAAGTACTAGAGCAGTTAGGCTCTAAAGTCTAACCACCAAGTGGTAGCCAATTAAACTCAGTTTGGAGCAGAAACTAGCCTAATACAACCTCTATGAATCTATAGAATTGGATGGTAGTATCATATTATTTAGTTTTATTAGTATTGTTATTAGTTAGTAACCAGAAACCCCCAACCTTGCCCTAGATAAGAGCACCAGCAACATTAGTTAGAGGTATTTAGGACTACTACTAGAAATTTTCAACAGCTCAATTATAAAGCAACAAGAAACAGTTATTCTCAGTCATGGTGTTTCCTCAGAATCAAGACACAAGACCGACTCTACCAACAACCAACGCATCTTCATCTGGAATATTGACTGGCAATCAAAGCAATCAAAATATGCATATTGATCCACCTCTCCCACTATTACAACCAGTGTTACCCCCACCACCAATGCAGATAAGCCATACTTTAGTACAGCATTATCATGAATGGTATGGGTGGGGATAATCAAAAAAATCAACAAAACAACAACCCAGCTGGATCTGGGAACACTCAAAAAACAAATTACCCTGTGGGAAACTACAGCTTACCCCCAGACATTCAGGAAATGGACAAGCCTTTTCCAAGACCTGCAGTAATCATCAAAGATAAGGTAACAAGGCAATAAATTTGAAGACTTTTTGGAATGATTTGAACTAGCAGCAAAAATATATTGCGGAGGCAGCTATGACAAAGCACGTCAAGTGTGTAGATTTGTGGAGGTAAAGAACTGGACAATTCTTTGTGCAAGCATCATAGAAATCTGGGATGGTGTGGCAAAGAAGATTCAATACACAATCAAGGACCTTTACAGTCTGATTGATTTCTGTCATAAAAAAAGCGGAATCAAGCAGCTGAATGATTTCAAAACCTTTCAATCACAATTCATAATGATAACTAAGTATTTGGTAAGAAATGAGCATATAGTAAATGACTTTTCTTTTGAGCTCTTTCCACAGACATACAGACAAGCAACGATGTGGATTTAGAGGATGAAATCCCTGAACATTCTGGTGTATTTATCAACAATGGTGGCATATAAGGACCTAAGACA